TCGAGCAGTATTTGATGTGTGGTACCAAATATTATTATTCAAGAGTGCATATTACGCATGTGAGGGACTTATATCTGAACCGATTTTCTCTAAATTTGAGTAGCTTTTTGCGGTCAGAATTTTGTTTACAATAATACATGGACTGACTGACATACATAAATCGACTCCGAAAGTAATTCATGAAGATCATCAAAAGTAACTATGGATCTATCTCGCTTCCTTCGCCATGTTACAAACAAATGCACAAAGACATAATACTCTTACCACTATGTGGTGTAGGGTACAACAATGTAGCACTTTTTCCCAATTTTGCAACTTTTTTTATAATTCTACTTTACAATAGACGGTCTGGGTTGTAGAAAATTCAAGTGTACTTCATATACCTGGTTTGTAGATCAAAACCCCAAAGGTTTTTCGGGTTCTTTGGCCAAACGTAGTAAGGCCCAACATTTCACTTATTCTGGTACCTTCCCCACAAAGAGTCAAAATATTTAATGTCTATGAAACTCATAGAACGCGAAATTAACATTCGATTCCATTTAGACTTGGTACATCTCACAACACAAGATCTTTTATAAAGATGGTATAGATCGGACCATTCCCTCGGGTACCTCTCCACGAAGGGTTAAAATTTTGAATAACCAAAGCGAATACAAAATTCGGTTCTCTTCATTTTTCACACATCCCATTATTTCTACTAACACAACATCTGTTGTGAAAATGTGATATATTGGTCAACTCATTCTGGTACCTCCCCCTCAAAGGGTCAAAATTTGGAATATCCATTAAGCTCATAAAACTCGAAATTAACATTCGATTCCATTCAGACTTGGTACATCTCAATATTTCCATCAACAAAAGATCTGTTATAAAGATGGTAGAGATCGGACCATCTCTTCTGGTGCCTCCCCCACATAGCGTTCAAGATTTTGAAATACAAAAGGCTCAAAGAAAGCCCAATAAGCATTAAAATTTCACACATACAAACATATTTGCTAACCCAAGATCTGTTGTGAAGATGATATATATATGTGAGCCCCTTCTGGTACCTCACCCAAAAGGGATACTTTTATCTGTCATAACTTGAAACAAGTCAGCGATTATTTACAACTTCTTATATCTAAATATTTCTCTCAACGAGAAACCTGGGATGAATATGGAATTTATGATTTCGCATAAAATTGCATATAATTGTTCGAATTTCTTGAAATTTTGCCCATAACAATATTTTTATCTGTAGTAGGTGACGTGTGAAAATGGAACAATCCGGCCTACCATATCTGGTAACTCACGCACATTTCAACATTTTCTAAAAATTATCACATATCTCATAAGAATAGTCCAATATAGTCCAAACCTGGCACTTCGAAATATTTGTATTATATTTCTAGAACAGTGTTGGCATGTTGGGTCAGGATATCCTAGTATTTTGTTATTGCAAAATAGTCATGCTAAATCCCATTGTTGTTGTTTTTATAAAAACAACGTTTGTTTATTAGTAGAGAAAGATGATAATGTTTACAAGGGGTAAAGCAGGAATACTTTGGTTTTCATATTTATTTAGGTCCGATACGAAATCGACAATATTGGCCCAAACACATGTCGGCACACATGTCGGGTATACACATGTCGGCGAAACCGACTGATACTTTTTAACTTGTTTAGCTCTACTTTAATAATCTTCTAAAATTTCCCCGTAATTATTGAAAAAAATTGTTCTTTGTCGCACAGTGTAATTTAAGTTGTCCTAATGGCGAAAATATAAATAACTCCATTTTTACTGCTTGTTCACTCTCTTTAATGAATATGATAGCAATTCTAATTGACCGTTTGCAAAGAGGATTCTTCAGCTACATACGTACGTATATACGAAATACGTATAACACACTGTATCATCTGATAGTATAAGCGCTTGTGTATTTTTGTACGGTAAAAAGAAAAAGAAAAAACAAATAAATATAAGGATTGGTCTCCACAAATAACACCCCAAGGACATTAGCAAAGCTTAACTACGACTCACCTGGACCAGAGTAGAGTACAATGTAATTTTTTTATGAGAGAGAATCAAGAGACACTTTTAAGATGTTTTGTTCTAGTTGTTGTTTCTTGCTTCCACTCTCGTAGCTGGAATCAGTTTTGTTGCTTCAGCTGCAAAGATGGTGGCCAACTTTAAAGTTATGGCAATACACCGGGAGTGGAGTAGTACCATGTAGATGTGGCCAACACTAAACGGAATACTCGGTAGCCAACTCTAACTGACTTTTACTAGTTAGCTTGGCTTTTATTACTTTGCTGAGGTTTTGGGTACTTTGTACATTTCATTCTTCACCTGCAATGCGGTTCTTTCGGTTGGATTTTTGTCATGTTTAAATGTTACTTAACATAAAACTAATTTGAGCTGGTTCTTCTGTTGAATTTTATTCTTCTTTTTTTCAGGGGGACTTGGGTGGCATTTTTAGTTACAGCATTCTGCTGAGGGAGGGGAAGGAGGGGGGTTAAGACGGATTTAAATTTCGCAAATTAAATGCAACCGCATTAGGTATCACTTGTAGTGTCCCGAATTGTACACAGCATTTTGGGAGTGCTCCAGCAGTTGTTTGCCAGTATCAAAGATGGCCATACAATCTCAGAGTATGGCACAGAGATAGCAAGCGAGAAAGAGAAGAAAACAATAAACACCCGAACAAATTCGCTTACCATTGAATTGAAATAGTTAAAAGTTGCTAAGATGAAATAACTGCTATGACTGCAATAAGTGGCACATTGCGTATAAACTCCGAAGTTTTAGGAGTTTATGTCGTGTTTAGAAATTGCAAATTCATAATTAATAAATAATTCGCTAAGAGAAAAAGAAAAATATGTCATTTCATAATTTTGCCAATTTTGAGTTCATTGTGGGTGAAAAATACAAAATAAACTCAAAATATAAAAGGAATGGAACACAGTTTTATGATTCTCAACTCAAGTGACAGAAATATTGCAACTCGCATACAATTCCGCCTCCAAAATTTTAACATTTCAGCATCGTAAAATTACAGAAATACAGTTTTAAGGTTATGGCCGCTTCCTGCCAGAATTATTCAGTATTATACAGGGTGAGATAAAAAAACTGCAACAAAGTTTTTTAAATTTTATTGAATGAAAGCAAAAAATGTCGGAAATAGCATCAAATTTAAGAATAAGTTTAGATTAGTTCGAATTAGTCAACTTTAGCACGAATTATGGCCTCCAAATGGCCAATGAAACCGTTACACGTTGTCCGAATGTTGTTCTGCGGTATTTTGTCCCATTCCCGGCGAAGAGCTTGCATCAAAAATACTCCGATGTCAAACGGATTGGTATCGGGAGATTTTGATGCCCATTGTGAGCTGGAAATGAAGCGAGGAACCTCATTTTGTAACCATTCTTGGGTGGCGCGTGCTGAGTCCTGTTAGAATGTCCAAGGTCTGTGGGTGCCCAAGGCTCTAATACACCCTCCAGAATATTTTCGCTATAATATTCGGCTTTTATTCTGATGCCACGGTCGATAAATAATAGCGGAGAGCGACCATCGGTTGTTATGACGGCCCACACCATCACCATGGCCGGCGCTTGAGTTCTGGTGGCCAACCGAAGGTGCACATTCTCAGCTAACCTCTTTGGCAAGTAAACGCGTTTATTTTGTTTGTTGACAAACTGCTGGACAACGAATGTTTTTTCATCGGAGGAAACCAAATTCGACAGTTCATCACTTTCGGCCAAGCGAAGCAACTCTTTAGCTCTTTTGAGGGTATTTTCATACTGTTGCGGTGTAAGTTCTTGAACTTTTTGCAATTTCAATGGCTTTACCCCGAGCTCATTTTTCAATATTTGCCGAATGGAATGTTGCGATATGTTCAGCTCACGAGCCATTTTTCGGCCACTGTAACGCGGGTTTCGTTCAAGTCGCTTCTTTACTTTTCGAACCATTTCTGCTGATGTTGCTGTTTTCTTCCGTCCACTTCCTTGACGTCGGGCTACGCTACCAGCATCACGGTAACGATTTATTCACTATAAATGCTGGAGTGCTCTAAAGATAGCCACTTGTGGTTTTCCAGCCAAATATAAAAAAAATCACGCTTGAATTCCATCACGAATAACTTTTTTCCTGGAAAATTCTCACCAAAACAATATAATGAGTTGTCACTGGAATAATTTTAACAGTTGTCGGACGAGTGGCTTAGAAATGACAGCAGTCTGAAATTTGTTGCAGTTTTTTCATCTCACCCTGCATTTGATATTTTTCCTCATTATATCCTCCACATTGAAACGGAGGGTATATTAACATTTTCATTCCCTAAATTTTCGTCGTATGCCCAATAATAATATGTATTCATGATCAGCATAAAATTCTAAGTCGATATAACGATGTTCGTCTGTCTGTTGAAATCACGATACAGTGCACATTATTTGACGTAGAGCTTCAAAATCTGGCACAACAATTTGCATTGTGTTTAGGATGGTTGGCATTTTGGTATAGCCGCAATATAACGGTACCTCCCAATAATCAAAATTTTGATGATTTTCGACTCCACTTTTCAGGCGTTTGTCTAAAAATTGGTATTTGTGGGTCATTATGAATTCTAGCACCTGTGGCGGAACATTGTATGTATAGGTCAAAGTTTTCGTGTAGCCCCCATAAAATGGTCCCTGCCGATATAGGGAATTTCGATGACTTCCCCAACACTTGTTTACGGATTTGTCTAAAAATTGGCATTCGTAGGTCGTAATGGGTTTTAGCTCCGGTGGCGGAACATTGTATGTATAGGTCTATAGTTCCTCCCGATATTCAGCATTTCGATGATTTTTGCGGTAATTTTTTTCAAAGCTTGTCATTTAAGACTCGCAATAGATAACAATCCTTGTAGTATAAAATTGGTATGGCAAACCAAATCATATTGCTCGAGTGTAAAATGTTTGTATGTATAACTTAGGTAAACACATCCCTGTACATTATAAAATATATATTTTTGTGTACTTACCCTGTCCACAGAACAAATTCCACATTGTCGCCCTGGCGCGTTTTCATTGCTTTAGCAGCAGACTCAATTAGGCTCCAAGGACTATCGCAGAGGTAATCACCATAACGACCGGGTGAATGTGTGGACGAGCTGGGTGGCGGTTGTCGATCGATGCGCCAACAACCTAGAAATATGAAAACAAATTTAGAAGAGATGAATAATAATAAAAACTAATAATAACAACAAAACAAAAACGATTTTTGAAAACTATAATGATTTGCTGGGGGAAGTGTTGATATTACATTCCACAGAATGGCGGAGGAAGGTATTCACAAAATTAAAAAAATAAACACATTAAAAAATATTGGTAAACTCATAAAAAAACCGAATATAGGGGCATATATATTAGGGTCCGTTATATTGGGGCCTATGCAAAGACGTGAACTTGAATATGAAATTTTTTCATAGGCTATTACGATATTCAAATATAAAACCTGAAACTATTCCGGTGAATAATGTTGCTAAAATCATACCGAATATAGGGAAGTACCATTATATGGGGGCTATACGAAAACCTGGACCTACATAGGCAATTAAAACCTAAAAACTTTAAATATGTCGCTATGGACCTATATGGTCCATTCTCAATACCAAAAGTCCTGCAGATCATCTGAGTATTTTATTATTTTTTTAACAGATTTACTTAGACACACATAGAGTTTTATGCTTATCAAGAATATGTATATAGGTGTTACTAACGGAATAACACTCTTAATATACCTTCCTTACTATGGTGGAGGGTATACGAAGTAAGAAAGTACTTAAGTTGGACAGGGCCGAAATTTGTATACCCTTCACAATTTGGGATTTATAGATACTGATATGCCAGTATGCCGAGAAGTATTCCATACCTTCCACCATACAAAATATGGAAGGTATATTCAGTTCCTCATTCCGTTTGAAATTCATCGAAATAATCATTTTAGACATAACAAGGCATATATATTCATGATCAGCGTAAAATTCTAAGACGATTAAGTTCTGTCCGTCCGTCTGCTGTAATCACGCTATAGACAAAACGAATAAAGAAAGGAAGCTAAAACTTTATACAAATCAGTCTTTTGTCTGCAGGCAGGTCATGTTCGAAGATGGGCTATATCGGTCCACGATATCGTATAACACCCACACAACCGTACCCCCTCCCCCGCCCCCCATTTTCGGTATATTGATGATTGTAGCCAAGTTTTCAATGAAATTGTCAGAAAATCCTGAGGACTTTTCCCTCTGGAAGAGAATTGTCTATATAAGTCTACGATATCGTATAGCCCCCTTACAACGGTACCCCCCCCCCACATTCGGTATTTTGATTCTTGTAGCCAAACTATTCAATGAAATTGTCTGAAAATCCACAAAAGGAATTCCTTCTGAGTACTTCATTCCCTGGATGATTATTGTTTCTATAGGGTTTCACGATATTGTATATCCCCCATATAACGGTACCTCCCTATATTCGGTATTTTGATGATTTAAGGTACATTTTACAATAGAATTGCCTAAAAATCCATATTAAAAGTTCTTTCCCTGGAAAAGAAATGTCTATAAAGGTCCACGATATCGTATAGCCCACATACAACTGTACCCCTGATATTTGACATTTTGACAAAAAATTGCGTATGCAGGCCCACAATTTCGTATAGCCTCCATATAACGGTTTTTGATGATTTTAGCAAAATTTTTACTGAAATTGTTTCAAATTGTTCTTTAGAGTCCGTAACGGTCTATGACAGAAAATTGTCTATGCAGGTCCAGGCCTTCGTATAATTCCCATATATCAGTACCTCCCTATTAACGGTATTTTGATGATTTTAGCTACATTATTCACCGGATTTTTTTCAAGTTTCGTATTTGAATATTTTATGACAAAGGTTGCCTATGCAGGTCTACGTCTTCGTAAAGACCCCAATAAAACGGTTATATTCGATATTTTTAAGATTTCAAAAGAATTTTTGGCGAATGTAATTTTTTTGAAAATTTCCAAATTCGTTCTAAATAGTGGGGTATATTCAAAGTTCTGCCCGGCCGAACTTACTGTTTTCTAACTTGTTGAATTTTATAAAATCTAGTAAAATGTGAAGCAGGTGTTTAGTTTTTTTTTTTGCTATTTTGGGCCCTTCTTCAAAAGGGCTCATCAATTTTGCCGATATTCATCATTTTCAACAACTATACTCAAAACACAATGCAAACCGTACTACTAATTTTCAAAGATCTACATCGAATATTATGGATTGTATTTTGATTTCAAACGACATGCAGACAGAAAATCGGAAATCGTTAAATCGACTTTGAATTTCAATCTAATACCAGTGTGTATATAAAGGGTGATTTTTTATCAATTTTCTTTTTGTCAACAATGGTTTAAAAAAGGAAGTGCGGTAATAGTATGAAAAAATACAACATATATGTGTGTATAATTGTAAAATCCACTTCTGTTACCAATTATGAAATTGAACTCTCAGTAACATGCTGACAATGCCAAAGGTTTCTATTGCCTACATTTCCCCAACATATTTCAAATGAATCATTTTGAAAGCCCGCAAAACAAAAAAAAAAAAAAATCGAAAGGAAAGTTTTACTACACACCCACAATAAGATAGCAACATTTTCTCTTTTTTTTGTTATTGTTCCATAAATGTTGACTGCAAATACCAACAACGGCAAGTATATTTGCAAATAATTACAATTGGAAAAAATATAATGGAGCACCCTTGTCGATAATTGCAAGAATTCTTTTTTGTCCGACCACCAGCCTTGTTCAAATATTAATTCAGTCATCGAAAAGTAAATATATAATTGACCTGAATGAATACGTTGTATGTCAGAACGAGTTCAACGAAATAACTTCTTGAGAGGGTAAAACAACCACAACAACAACATCGACGATTGATTTTATGAAAGGAAGAAAAAAAGAGGTTTGTACTACTACCAGTGGGGAGGTTATTGAACTACAAAGGCGATGAGAAATTAAGTTATTATTGCAACAAATTGAAACACATCGACAACTGAAGGGATACATTAAATTGGTCTGGAATTTATAATTATTGATTGTGTGGTTTATCGGAAGGTGTGACAAAATGGACAGTAGGAACTGATACAACAAATTTCGAATATAACACTAGACAAAATCAGTGTGTTGCTTTTTAGCCAAAATCAAACTTATAATACCCTCAACATATATGGCAGGTTTTTCTTAGCCAATCGAATATGTAGACGAAACGAAGACAGCCACTCGAAGTAGAGTTAAATTGTTTCTCTTTTATTTTTTATACCCTATACCACATAGTGGAGAAGGAAACGATTTATACGCATTGTTACAAAGACATAGAAGTGTAAAGATAGGACAAGACAGGGAAACAATATGGTAACCTTGTGAAAATAACTCTGTTGCTACGATATCATAACAACATAGTTACCAATGTTAACTGGTTTAAACCGCTAAGGCAATGTGCAAATTTTCGGAATGGTCCATGGAATAAAATTTTGAAACCAAAATGTTGGATTTCTCAAATTTTTATTTGTTATCTGTTTCTGTAATTGTGGTTTTTATATTAACATGTCTCTGCCATGAGCTGTTACTTTATGTATTGTAGACACAAACCCTTTGCTCAAAATGCATTTTGTCTAGTCTTTACCATTTTAGGTCTTTGATTGTTACTTTTGAAGATCTCCATAGAATCACTTTCTGAGGCGATTTATGCATGACAGTCCGTCCGTCTATCCCGTATTTTGGGTCACATTTATAATCCAATTGAGATGAAATTTTCCAGGGTTTTTACGAACCCTATTGAAAATGGTGAGAATCGCCTCAAATTTAGATATAGCTTCCATATACAGGGTGAGATGAAAAACCTGAAACCAACTTCAGACTGCTGTCATTTCTAAGCCACTCGTCCGACAGCTGTTAAAATTATTCCAATGACAGCTCGATATATTGTTTACAAGCGTGCAAAAGCATTTTGGTGAGAATTTTCCAGAAAAAAGTTATTCGTGATGGAATTCAAGCGTGATAGTGTGATTTCTTAATATTTGGCTGGAACACCACAAATGGCTATCGTTAGAGCACTCCAGCATTTAAATGTGAATAAAACTTTTGTGTCTCGTTACCGTGTCTCGATACCGACGTCAAGAAAGTGAACGGAAAAAAACAGCAACATTAGCAAAATGGTTCGAAAAGTAAAGAAGCAACTTGGTCGAAACCCCCGTCGCAGTTGTCGAAATATGGCTCGTGAGCTGAACATATCGCAATATTCCATTCGGCAAATATTGAAAAATGAGCTCAGGCTGAAGCCATTGGAATTCCAAAATATTTCAAGAACTTACACCGCAATTGAAAGAAAATAGACTCAATAGAGCTGAAGAGTTGCTTCGGTTGGTGAACTGCCGAATTTGTCCAGCAGTTTGTAAAAAAAAAAACAAAATGATCGTGTTTACTTGCCAAAGAGGTCAGCTCAAAATATGCAACTCCGGTTGGTCACCAGAACTCAAGCGCCGGCCATGGTGATGGTGTTGGCCGCTATAACAGCCTATGGTCTCTCTCTGCTCATATTAATCGATCGTGGCATCAGAATAAACGGCGAATATTATAGCGAAAATATTCTGGAGGGTGTATTAAAGCCTTGGGAGGCAAACATTTTAGCCACAGGTCTTGAACATTCTAACAGGACTTAGCAACATCGCACTCAGCACGCGCCACCCAAGAATAGTTACAAAATGAGGTTCCTCGTTTCATTTCCAGTGCACAATGGCCACCAAAATCTCCGGATACCAATCCGTTAGACTATTGTGTCTGTAGTATTTTGAAAAGCAAGGTTGGCACTAAAAAATACCAAAATGTCGATCACCTCAAGCAAGCGCTTCGCCGGGAATGGGCCAAAATACCGCAGAGCAACATTCGGTTTCATTGCCCTTTTGAAGGCCAAATTCGTGCCAAAGGTGCCCAATTCGAACAAATCTAAACTTATAATTTAAAAAAAAAAATGTCTAAATTATGGCGTTTGACTTTGTTATATATTTTTATCTCACCCTGTATATCTGCAATTCTACGATAATTTGTAATCACGTTAAGGTCGCATTTATGAACCGATCGACACGAAATTTGGCATGGAGGTGGGGTTAAGATCAGAATAGAACCTTATTATAATTTTTTTAGGATTTAAAATGGACTAACAACAGAAAAATTGCCTAATTTTGCAGTTGATCTACAGTCTGCAATTATAGACCAATCGACTCGGAATATAGTATGTGACTAGAGTTTTCATCGGAGAATATTTAGCAGGTAAAGTAGACTACAATTTGTGAACAAATACTTAAATTTCCACAAAATTCAAAATATTTTTAGTTCCGGCGAAATCACAAATACATTTAAATGTCAATGCCACTTCTGATAGTTACAGTGATACTGATAGCAAAGATGGGCCAAGGGGATGTTAGTTAGACCGCTTATAACTCAAGAACAGCTAGGCGGACTTTTACAATTCTCACCGATTCAGAATGGCATTTTAGCATTAAAGAAAAAAATTTAAAAAAAAAACACATGAAAAGATGTGAATATTTTCTGTAATAATTTCCATTTTTATTTTTTTGGATTAGATGTTCTCAATTTTACCTACAATATTGAATTGTACATTTTGAAATATTTTTGCAATACGCTATGGGGGGTATATTAACTTTGTCATTTCGTTTGTAGCTCCACAAAATTTTCATGTTAGACTAAATAAGGTATGCATATTCTTGATCGATTTAGCGATGTCCGTCCGTCCGAAGGCACACATGTGTATTTTTCCAGTTGACAGATTAAAAGCATAAATGGGCCATGTCGGTTCACGTTTAGTATAGCCCCCATACAACGGTACCTTTCAATATTTGATATTTTGATGATTTTAGCGACTTTATCTACCGGAATTGTTTCAAATTTCATATTAAGGTTCTTAATGGGTTAAAAACAAGTAAAAAACATTAATTTCGGCCGGTACAAAATTTTAATACCCTCCACCTTAGGTTAAAGGAAACATTAGAACCCAATGTGTCCCACAAATACCAATTTTTAGACATATTCGTGGGAAAATGTCCCAAAATCATCAAAATATTGAATATCGGGAGGTACCGTTATATGGGGCTATACAAAAACGTGAACCTATACATGCAATGTTTTGCCACCAAAACTAGAACCCATTATGACCAATAAATACCAATTTTTAGATAAATCCGCGAAGAAATGTGGCAAAAATCACCAAATTACCGAATATCTGGAAGAACCGTTATATGGGGGCTATACCAAATCGTGAATCTTTATATGCAATGTTTTGCCACCGCAGCTAGAACCCATTATGACCAACAAATAAAAATGTGTAGACAGATCCGTGAAAAAATGTGACAAAAAGCATCAAAATATCGCATATCGGGAGGTACCATTATATGCGACCTATACATACAATGTTTCGCCACCGCAAGCAGAACCCATTATGACCAACAAATACCAATTTTTAAACAAATTTGTGAAAAAAATGTGACAAAAACCATCCAAATACCGAATATCGGGAGATACCGTTATATGGAGCTATACCAAAGCGTGGGCCTATACATACAATGTTTCGCTATACGAACTAGGACCCATTAAGACCTACAAATGTCAATTTTTAGACAAATTTATGAAAAAATGTGGCAAAAATCATCAAAATACCGAATATCGGAAGGTACCGTTATATGGGGACTATACCAAATACCAATACCAACCATCCTAGACACAATGCAAATTGTTCTGTTAAATTTTGAAGCTCTATGTCAAATAATGTGGGCTGTACCGTGATTTAAACAGACAGACAGACAAACAGATGGACATCGTTAAATCGACTTAGAATTTAGTGCTGATTATGAATATATATACTTTACATATATTTAGGGACGTATATTTAGGGATGTTACAAACGGAATGACCTCCTTTCCAAGGTGGAGGGTATAAAAATAAAACATTTAACACAAAAACTATGGGGTAACAATGCGGTACAGCTCAGCTAGTTATACCCTACAACACTATGTGTTGGGGGTATTATAAGTTTGATTGGGCCAAAAATTATGTAACACCACGAAATATTGGTTTCCCACATAGAAAGGTATATATGGATCTTCCTATCTCGCCGAGCTGAGTCGATCTAGCTATGTATGTCCGTCCGTCCGTCTGTCCATGTTTATTTGTAATCAAGCTACAGGTCGCAATAATGAACCGATCTTCGCGAAATTGAAAATGGAGGTGGGGTTATGGTCAGAATAGAACCCTATTGTTTTTGATGATCGCACGATATTTAGGAGTTAAAATGGATCAAAAACAGAAAAATTTCCTGATTTTGCTCTATAGGTCACAATTATGAACCAATCGACGCGAAAATTTACATGGAGTTAGAGTTTAGGGTTGGGCAGAAACATACCAATTTGGGTGGCCATCATACAATAAAAATACTAATGGGCCGATTTTCACAATTCCCATCAATTCGGACTGGTCTCTTGCCAGAAAACGATAAACTCTAAGAAAATCGCGGAAAAATATACTAATAAAAAAGTGATTATCTTTTGTCGATGTTTTTCCATTTTTGTCATATTTTTATCGCATTCTATTTTTATTTTCAATTTGACTTACAATTTTGAATTGTAAATTTTCTAAATTTTTACACCCCACAACACTACGTTTTGAGGGTATTATATGCATATCCCAATTATCGTCCGATCCTCACGAAATTTTGCATGGGGGTAGGGTTAGGGTTAGAATTAAAGCCTATTGTTCTTAAGATGTACATTTAGAGGTGCAAATGGACTAAAAAATTTAATTTTTTCTAATTTTGTAGTCGCTCTATAGGCCAAAATTGAAACTAATCGACACGGAATTTCGCATCAGAAGAGACTTAAAGTCAGGGAAAAAGTCTAGCATTTTGGATGACTGTAAAATGGACCACAACTTTCTTGTGAAATTGTTTTTATTACTTAACAACACTACGGAGTGCGTAAATATTGACACAAATTCTTCGGATCGAAAAACTAAGGGCAACCTTTGGGCGGGGCTCTTTGACGTACTTTCTAGAGCTAAATCTTTCAAAATGGATTTCTATATAAGGCGAGTTTGAACATATTGTAGTGTTGTAGTGTATCACTTGGTCGGCCTCGCACGACTATATCCTTTGCTTACTTGTTAATGTATAAATATAACTTACTTCTCATAACATCTCCCTCCGTTGAATATATTGTGTCCAGGTGAAGATCTGTAATGTGCCAAAAGTAACCTGAAATAAATACAAAAATTTGTCATTAGTGAATATTATATATCATTTGTTACAACAAAATGTCTAAACGGTACATAACAGAGAATCGCTACAGCACTTGAAATAAGTATTTACAAGTTTATTTCGTTTATATTTGATTTATGTTCTAAGACAATCCTATGGGTTATCTAAAAAATATTCCAGATTTTCCGAAATTTTTTAAAATGATTTTCAAATATTGTATGTGAGAATCGCAAGTAGAACGGTATACATACTGATACTTATACCCTACAACGCTATATGTTGGGGGTATTATAAGTTTCAAAAAGTATGTAACACCACGAAATATTGGTTTACCACATAGGAAAGTATATATGGATCTTCCTAGCTCGCCGAGCTGAGTCGATCTAGCTATGTATGTCCGTCCGTTTTTCTGGTCATGTTAATTTGTAATCAAGCTACAGGTCGCAATGGTCAAAATAGAACCCAATTGTTTCTGGAGATGATGGCAAAATATTTAGGGGTTGAAATGGACCAAAAACAGAAAAAAATACTTGATTTTTGCAAAGAGTTAGAGTTTAGGACTAGTTAGAAGCGTACAAATTTGAATGGGTTTTAGTGTCATATTTAGCGGTTAAATATACCATAACTTTTTTGTAGAAAATACAAAATTTTCCACTAAACCGCGAATATTTTTTATCCTGGCGAAATCACAAATACCCGAAAATGTCACTTCTGACCGTTACATTGATGCTCATATCCTAAATCTCGCATATATAGCAAAATAAATACAATCTCATATATCAAAGAAGGGAATGTTAGTTAGATCACTGATAAGTAAAGAACCGCTGGACTGATTTTAACAATTCTCATCAATTCGGAATGATCTCTTGCCAGAAAAGTATAACATCCAAGAAAATCGCATAAAAATATGCCAATAAAAAAGTAAATATATTTTGTTATTTTCTTTTTTCAATTTTTTTCATATTTTTTATCGCATGCGATTTTTTCATTTTGACTTACTATTTTGAATTGTAAATTTTTAAACTTTTCCTACACCCCCCAACACTATGTATTGAAGGTATTATATACAGGTCGCAACTATGGTTCGATCCTCATGGGATAGCGTGAGGGTCAGAATTAAAGCCTACTGTTATGGAGATTTAAATTCAGGGTTCGAATACATAACAACACGGTGGACTGCGTAAATGAGGGTAACATCTGGGCAGGCCTCTATGACATTATTTCAATATCGAAATCATCCAAAATGATTTTTGGACATAAGGGGGCTTCCAATATATTGTAGTGTTGTAGAGTATCACATGGTCGGCTCCGCATGACTATAGCTTTTGCTCACTTGTTTATAATACAGTCAACTGATTTCTATAACTGTTTTCTGTTTTGTGTTTGAAAAAATTAATTAGTTTTGTTTGGCTTCGACTTCAATTAACTTATGCGAGGAAACATTATAAAGCCCAAGAATATTTGTGCTAAAGGTGTACTCTAAAAACGTTCACACGAAGCTAACATACATGCATACAAACATACATACATACATGCATTTTTTGCCGGAAAGTGATTTTAATATGTATGATACACAGCAGCCTCTTACCCATACAATTTGTTGATGACGGAAAACCAACAACAACAACAACAACAACACAAATACATAATAAAATAGCTCACAGCTGAAGACAATGCAGACCATAAGATGGTATGAGCAACAATAAAAATGAAGAATAGAACATAAGATGAAAGGAATCCAAAAGACAAAGTGTAACAAAAGATTTTCTGTCACCAAAGGATAAGGCAACCGTAAAAGAATGACATCAGTCAAGTGTGTACTGGTGTATACGGCTGTGCGGGTGTGTGAGCATTTGCCGAGACATAGACAATTTTACAACTGTTGCATGGCATTCAGGACATGGCATTACTTTTGCCCACATATTTTCTTTAACACTCCGTTTTTTTTTTTTTTGTTTTTTTTTCTTTTCATTGCATTGCCATTTCAGTGAGAGAAGAAAAAAAAGATGACAAAGGACATGAAGAGGATGAGAAAATGCTACTGTCTTTGACATTGTTATGGAATATGGTGTTCTTTGTTGCTACTGACTGCTATGTTTAAAGAATTTATTCTCTTTTACTGCGTTATCTAGTGTAAGCAATCCTTTTATACACCGTACAAAGTTTAAGAGTATGGGCATTGAAATCAAACTTCAATTTAATTTCAAACTTAACCAGATTGCTAGTCACAAACTTTATGAAGCTTTTATATGTGAGCAAATAAAAAAGAACGATGTTTCTTTTGGCCCGGTAAAAATTGTTATATGATTTACCACAAAACCAAAATAGGTTATTTTTGAAACGTAAACAAAAGCCTGCAATCTTCCGACCTACGTAAGAGATTGAAAACGGCATTTTGTTGTAACAGACAAAACAAACTTACATGGTTATGTTACTTCGTTCAGGTTGAACGAAATCATAACAAGTGGAGAAAGATGTAAATGTTTATAAGTGCGGTTGTAAGATTTAGAAGATTTTCCAAAAGAATTTTAGTTTTATGTAATTCTTTTGTTCCTCTTCTATTGAGCTTACGATCTCGTCACTTGGGTAAAAAATGTTTTTTGTCATAGAAGTTATTTTTTAAATAACTTCTGGGGAGAATATCCCAGACAAGAAACAAGGGAACTGATGAGGATTGGTGGCTCTTTCCGAAACCTAGGTATTCCCTGCCTTACCCCCTGGTAAACATTACCATCGTTCTCCACTCATAAACAAACGTTGTTTTTATAAAAACAACAATAATGGGATTTTGCCTGACGATTTTGCAACAACAGTATACAAGTTTTGACAAAAAACAATTTCGTTTTCAATTGAATGCCATCAAAATCAGTCCAGTTCCTAAGATTAGTTTTTATTGAATTCCTAAGTTTTTATTTAAGGAGATTAGAATGGTTTATTTTCAGATCAGATTATAATTTCATATAAATCAATTTTTAGGGGTTTCCAACATTTTCCGACATTTTTTTACCAAATTTGATATTCTTCCAAAACAAATTGGTTTTAAAATCTTAAATCACTTTATAAGGAATTATCAATATATCATAGAGTGGTATAACTCAAAAAATGCATTTTTAGTTTGCAATTTATTTCTACGAATCCTATTTTATTTCTCCATTAAAAATATTCATGATGTAATCTATAGAACTCAAGGAGTTTCAACTGTTTTTACTTGGTGTGCTTCATGACTTAAATACTTTAAGCTAGGCTTGATCTTGTACAAAAATTTAGAGATGTGACACTCTTTGAGTAAATGTGCGATATAATGTGGTATAATGTAGATCCATATATTTTTCCGCGTCACATGCAGGAAAAATTAAGAAAATCCGTGTCTCAACCGACTAAATAAATTAACCAAAAAAAAAAAAAAAAAACAGTAAAGAAAGTCTTAAAATCGGGCGGGGCCGATCTCATGATACCCTACACCACTTTGCTAATTTTGTAGAGCTCTACATAACAATTAAAAGATTTTATGGGAGAATTTAATCATACACGCTATGATTATATTTATCATTTAAAGTTGAAAGGACTAAATATGCCGAAGCATTTGTATCTTTTAAATTCGGACTTGTATTGCCCATTTAGTGTAAAATTAAGTTGAAATCAGATAAAGATATATATGGGAGCTATATCCAAATCTGAACCGATCTCGATAAAATCTGGCAAAGAATTTTCTGAGCTGTATTTGATATATTTCCCTGAATATCGTTGTTACGGAGTGCATATTACGGCTGTGGGTAACAAGTACAACAAATCGGATGAAGAATATATATGGGAGCTATAGCTATATCTTAACCGATCTTCACCAAATTTGACATACTAGTTTCTAGACTCGTAAGTAAGTGCCAAATTCCCATTTGGGCAAATATTAGACGTTTGATGCACAAAAAAAAAAATAAATCGGACGAAGTTATGTATGGAGCTATATCCAAATCTGAATAGATCTCGATAAAATTTAGCAAAGGTATTTCTGAGCTGCGTTTGATATATTTCCCCAACTATTGTTGTTACAGAGTGCATATTACGGCTGCGGAGGACAAAAATAACAGATGGATGAACAATATATATGGGAGCTATTGCTATATCTGAACCGATTTCGATCAAATTTGGTATACTTAATTTCAGGTCTAATTTGGTTGTATGTGCAAAATTCCATACTATTCGGGCTGATATTACACGTTTGGTGCACAATAAAATCGGCAAATCGGACGAGGATATATATGGGAGCTATATCGAAATTTTTACCGATTATCTCCAATTTCAATAGGGTTCGTCCTTGGGCCAAACAAATGTTGTCTGGAAAATTTCATCTCAATCGGATAATAAATGCGAAACGGACGGACGGACAGACGGACTGACATGCATAAATCAACTCAGAAAGAGATTCTTTCGGATGATCCTTTATATGGGGGCTTCGTGGACCTGTATACAATCTTTTGGGTTAATGCCCTTGAAAAATGTGACTTAAATCTTCCAAATAACCAATATCGTGGGGAAACGAATTATGGTTACTATACGAAAAGGTAGACCACAACACACAATTATCTGCCACAGAAGGTGGTACCTATTGCGAACTGCAGTTAGCAAATTTAAAAAAATTCCGTAGAAAAATGTGTGTAAATTTAAATAATTTCCGATTATATGGGGACTTAGTGAAAACGTGGACCTGCATCGGTTATTATCTGCCAGGGATGGTGGGCCCTATTGCAAACCCCAAATACAAAGTACAATTCTTCTATACACATTCAAAGACTCAATACATATATATTCCCGAACCTACCAAGGCTGTTATCTGCCAGAAAAAGAGGGACTGATAACAAACTCCAAATTTCAACAATTTTCTGCAAGAGAAGGGACCTACTGTAAACTCTAGAGTTAGCGTTATGTTGAGACGAAGACGTGGAGATGCAATTTTTGTCACAGACTATTACTAACAAATAATCAAAATACCGTATGTAGGG